AGCTTCGGAGTCTGAAGCTTGTAGAGCAGAAGAAGAATTGTGTCCTCTGAATTCTCTCTCCCCCAACCCAACAGCCCATCAGTCGCCCCCACCCTTCCTGAACCCAACAAGTCATTCAGCAGTCCAATCACAATGCCCACTGCAGATGAAGTGCCCGCTCAACGGGGGAGAGTAGCTCCCTGGAGGTAGAAGAACTCCAGCACGATGAAGATGGAGCCTGCCACTCTCATGGAAGAGCTGCTTCGAAGGCAGCTGAAATATCCCCAACAGACAGATGAGAAGGCGCCTCTACAGTGCACAGGGCCTGTAGCCCAGGCACTGCTCTCGTGGAAGATGGCTGGCCCAGCTATGGCTGCCAGCATACCAACACGATGCAGATAGCTGCGCAGGTCCAAAATTAAGGCAGCAGCATGAACGCGACCTCCAGCCACTTTGTGAAAAAAAATGAAGAAAACAGAACCCGATTTCCTTCGCCTTGGACATTTTTGTAGACTGCTGTTTCCACTGACTAGACTTACCCTACAGCCTAAGACCGACAGCCTGCAGCCTAGAACTGAATCTAGACTTAAAACTCGAAAGGGGAAAGACAAAAACAGGCCTACCACTTATGTCCAGAAAAGGACGAAAAGGCAAGTCCTAGTGGTTCTGAGCCTAGCCTACAGAATTTACCCAGTCAGGTCTAGGGATCAAGCCCAGTAAGGCTCACACAACGAAACACAACCGTGACAATACAGGTCATGGGATCAAGTCTCGACAAGCTCAAAAGCAGACAACAACAACTAGAACTAGTGTACAGCCTGCATAAAACTGCAATTCATTGCAATTTATTTTGTGTACATTGTACATACTTGTCATCAATCTCGAGCTTTTCAACTCGACTAGAATGCTAAACAAGCCAGGGACGTAAATGGAATACGAACTCCCTGAACGTCGGGCATCCTGGTGTTTATGAACCCTCAGAGAATAACATTGATATCTCACTCCCATGACGACTTCAGCAAACCATGTTTGCTCCAGTGATAGTTTTAAACTTGCAGTGTTCCTCCTCTATCATGCCCTCCTTCCTGTTGTGTTACTTAAGTTTCATCCGCACTCATCTCAGCCTCACATATGGGGGGGGGGAGAGAGAGAGAGAGAGAGAGAGAGAGAGAGAGAGTTGTGAGACTTAGTAGCTTCTCTCGCCTAAACCGCTTCAGTGATGATTTCACCAGTATTGTCAGTGTCCCGTTTGGATGCCTTGTGGAATCTTTGTTGCTGCTTGTTCGTTGTCTTGGCTGACTACGGTCGTGTAGAAGGTGCAATTTTCCCCACTTTTCTTATGGCAACATGTGGTCAATCTTGGTCAGCGTGCTTAGGATGTTTGCTTCTGATTTTTTCTCTGTCACCAGTGTTAATGGTTGTTGAGCTCATAGTTGACGTATTTGGCAACATTTGCCTGTGTTTTTTGTATGCCCAGTACTGTGCAATGAGCCTGGGCCGAGTGGGACTAGATTTCCGAGGACTTCTGCCCCCACTTTTTGAATCGTGAGTGATATCTGAATACTCTCCTGGCTTCTCACTCTCTCCTTCCGAAGTCGTTGAGCTCTCTGTGCGTGCGTTCAGTGAGTCAATGTCGCCTGATTGTTGTCTTATTCTGTGTAATTTCCTGGACCATCTGGTGCAGATTGCACTATGAGAGCCCCCATTGGTCATCCACTTTCTTTAGATCAGAATGCTGTCCTGAACTTGCATCATGGAAAATACATGGGTTGAGATGATAGAGATTTTGGGCGGGATTTGGATGTGATCCTAGGCGACCAGAGTGGCCCGGGACCACTTGCCCAGCCTGGCCAAAAAAAATAAAAATAATATATTAATAATTTAATAAATGAATAATAGAAATTTTTATTTTTTATTTTTATTTTAAATTTGGTAAAGAATTCCGATTTGACCCTGAGGCAGTTTTTCAATTTATATAACTTTATAAATTATAATATAACTTTTTTTTTCCCGAAATTTTTGGATTTTTTTTTTTTTTTTTTTTTTTTTTTTGGCTGGGACCTTCCCTGGTCCTTGCACGGCCGGGCCGCCCGGCAAAACAAGGTGACCCGGGCGGCCCGGCTGGTATCCTAGATCTGATCTGATTTATGTTCTGGCCATTTTGCACCCGCTGTGAATGAACCAGGTTCAGTCGTTGGTTTGGGTGTACTTAACTGTTGAGTTTTTCTCAAGTTCGTATGATTTTCGAGGAGCACAATGACTACAGAGCATGGTAGAACCACCACTCCCCTCGTTCAGTTCAAAGGCCAAGGGGCTGCACGTGGCTTTGGGACAGGTTGCCCAATCAGCTGCAGGGGGGCAGCGGCGGCACCAGTGCCTGAACTGTTGAATGCACTGTGACTCTGGCGGTTTTTTGCACGCAGAATTGTTGGCAAAAATCGCTGAAAAAATCAGGGGTGTAGGTTGATTGCTAATTTTTTCTGGGAAAAAATGAGAGAAATCAAGAACAAAAGACGTTCCTGTATGGCAGCAAACATTTCGGAAACGAAAAACGTTTCTGTATGGCGGCAAAAGGTTGCGTATTTTTGCTTCCCAGTGCTACCAGCAGGCCCTCAACTTTTTGTCTGTCCCCAGGCGCGAGAAAATGTGTTGGTTGTGCCCCTTTGGTTTAATTTGCTACAACGAGCACAAATTTGTAACAGCAATAAATAAAATTCCCATGAAAATACTGGAGACGCTGCAGTAGTCCCCAGCGAGATGGACACGAGCGCGTTACGGTCTTAGACTTCCTTCCCTGCAAAAAAGGGAGTGGTTGTTTAAGCTGGACAGGTACTGGAAACCAGGACAGGGGTCCATGGATCATGCATGACACCTGAGTCCTGACTATTCTGCTCTTCTTCTGTGTTCAGTGTCTTAGTCCTGAGGTTGGTCAGGGTGCACTGAGGTAAGGTACTGCATCCTTACGAAATCCACATGATTTTTTAGGTCCTGATCACTTCGTGTGTCTAACTGAGTTATAAGAGTATCTTCCGTGGTCCATCGAGACCTTTTTATTTTAAAATTGAAAAAAAAGCACGCGTGCGAGTGAGCGAGAGCGAGAGCGAGAGCGAGCGAGAGAGAGAGAGAGAGAGAGAGTATCTGTGGTTTATATTGCATACATAACATATGTTCCAGCTTATTCTTACGATACTTCGAAGCTGAGAACTGCAGTATGGCCTCACTGCGACCGGTTTCAAACACATTATGACCAGCATCCCTTTCCCATAATTATGATAAAATATATGATTATGAAAATGCACATCATCTCGACAAAATGTCAGGTCCCTGTTGTTGCAAGGAACTTGCCAGTAATTTCGACTTTTAATAAATGCCTTCCTTTTTTGCGCACTGTGTTTGTGTGTGTGCTTACATGCGAGTGTGCATATGTGTGTGTGCGTGCATGTGTGGGTGTGGGTGTGGGTGGGTGTATGTGTGGTTCTATGTGGTGTGTGTGTGTGGTAATGATATCCCATAGCAGTTATGTCAGATTGCCCCAAATATATACAGATATAGGACCTCGCACCACTACTCTCGACATGCAGAAAAGACAAAAATAATGCCGGTGTATCTTTCCATGTTCTAGCGGAAGATTCGCTCTCGTTTTGCACATTGTGAGAATAGTGGAGCGAGACCCATATGTAGTGGTACACCAGTTCCAGGGATAACCAATTCCACCTTGTACTATTTCTCAATCCCCTTGACTATGTAGGAGATTTTTGCTGTTGGACGTTAGCGTAGGCTGACAGGAGTATTCCCAAAGACCAGATACAATTAGCAGAAGCAGAGAACACATAAGCATATAGCACAGAAGTAACAGAAGAGTATTGACAGAGTGTTCCGTCGGACTTTCACCGACTCATGAGGAGGCTGAACCTTGACGGTCTGCTGGATCCCCTCACAATGGTTCGAGTTGCGAATGGACAAACACAGCGAAGCTTGCAACTCACCAAGGCAGCAAGGGAAGCCGCAGGGCAGTGCAATGCAGCATAGGGGCAAGGCACAAGGGTGAAGAAATGCACAGGGCAGCAGGATGAGCGGTGAGACGACAAGGCAGCGAGGCAGGAGGACACGAAGGCAGCAATGCAGGAGAGCAACACAGTAGCGAGGCAAGCAGCAGGGCAGCGCAGTGAGCAGCATGGGAACAAGGCAGTACCGCAGCTAGGGAGCAGCACAATGAGCAGCAAGGCAACTAGGCAGTGAGGAAGGAACACAAGCCAAAGGGCAGCACTATGAGGAGCTCAGTGGCCAGGCAGGAGGGCAACAAGGCAGATTGGCAACCAGCGGAGCAGCGCATTGAGTAGCAAAGCAATGAGGCAGCAAGGCAAGACAAGCGGGTGGGCAGGCGAGCACAAAGCGACAAACCCAGGCATTCAACACAGTGACACAGCAAGGCACTCAACACAGTAGCACTAGTTAGCACATAGCAAGGCAAGCAGGCGGGCAGGCAGGTGGTCACGGCATGCCAACGCAACAAGGCATGCACCTATACGGAAACACATGCACACAGCAAGGAACAAAGCGGACTATCACCTGCTCACATCATATTGAAAACCCAGCAGACGGTAGATGCACGCCTCTATCCGGAGCCATGAAGCCCCCTGGCGAATGTCTGTCACAACCGGAAAACGGAGAGACAATGGTATTCGAAGCTCAGCAACCCCCTTAATACTGCAGCAGGCAATCCATATAGAGAGGCAGAAGACCGGACAATGCAACAAATGGACGACAGCGCAGGGAAAACAGTAGAAGAAAAGGTCAAAGCAATAATGATAAGTATTATGATAATGGTATGATAATGATTGGTAACGTGTGAGTGCGAACGGATTGCTGACAAGTATTGTGATTGGTATTTGTTGACATGCTCACGTGCACTTTTTTGTTTTATGCTGTGATTTCAGATGCGTTTATGACCTTTTCAATCGAAACATATCAGTGGCGGTTGAGGCATTTCAGGTGCGGCAGACTCTGTTATGTTTTTTTTTTCGTTTGTCTTTCTCTGTGTGCATGCATTATTGAACGACCAAATTGTGATGAACGCAGCGTCTGTCTTGTGTTTTTTTTTTCTTTTTTTCCAGGGTTTGTGTGATCCGGCAAACATGTGCAGTTTGCTTTTCGAGTTTGCAAATCTCGACCAGCATGATTGTATGCCAGCATGGTCGCGTACTTGATGACCGCGGACCGTTTTGCAGCCAACCAGTAGGGCTGACTGGTCGGCGGTCTGCCGACCAGTCAGAAAACAGCCATCCACTGATTTTTTCCAAATCTGAGTTGGGGTGCTGGGGGGGTGTATGGGGGTATTGGGGGCAGGTATGGGGGTGTTGGTGTGGTTATTGGGGATTGTGAACCCAAAAATAAAAAATAAAAAAAAATTGTGGGGTGCCGACGACCGCCGACCGGTAGGTGCCGACCAGTCGACCAGTCAGCTGGTCGGCACCGACCGTCGGGGTATACTACACTGTATGCCAGTGTATATCTGAGTTGGTGTACAATCTCGGTCAGCTGCTGAACCCATGCTTTTAGGACATACTTGCACGAGGAGTTTCAAGGACGCTTCTGACTGCAATTATGGCCGAGTTCAGTGTCAAAATGTCCTAGTGTGAGTACTGCCTTCGAAGCTGGAACCTTCATCCTTTGTGGCTTTGTTAGTGGATATCAGTGACTATAGAACAAGTGCATATTGCATGTGTTCAGAGTCTTCAGACTCCTCAGACAAGTGGGCTCAAGTTGAGTCTTCTGTCAAAATCGAAAAGCTGTTAGCATGGTCCCTGCTCTTTCAAGTATGACATGCATAAACCGAGCAACTGTCCATTTTTTTCTGAAAAAGCAAAGAAAACAACAACAGGGTTCTGCCACTCCAACTGGGCTTCAGTGGGAGTAGGTACTGCCTTCTTAGCTGTGACCGCACAAATGGCAATTGCACAACAGTCCCGATGATGTGTCAACTGCATTTCAATAGATGCTGTTTAAGGAACATCAGGCATAGGACATTGACGTCGTTTTTTTACCAGCTAACGTCTTCCCTAAATAGAATGATTGGTGAGGAGGACTGACACTACATCAATCATCCAATGGCTCACCAAGATATCAATGATGCCGTGGTGCTCCGTTTGGGTCAAAGACGTTACATTGGAGTACATGTCGAGTTGCACTCGCTTGTGTGCGGATCACGATGATCCACAGATTGGCTGATGCATCATGATTTTCCCTCACCTCTCTAGCGTTTGTTCTTGGTGACTGTGGGTTCTTCTGTTGCGTCCCGTGCAGCATGCGCTAGCCTCCCATAGGTGGGTACCACTACCTCCCATGGGATCGAGTCGGCTTTCTGGAGCAGATGATGGGTCTGAGGATGTGGCGCCACCTTATTCGTTGATGGAACATCCTCCCCTTGCGGCTTTCGTTAATGGTGAGTTTTTTGCTAACTGCGTAATCCCCATCTACAAGCTTTGGCAATCAGGACTACCGTCTTCACCCGAATATAACGCCCGGTAATTATTGCTGTATCTAGGCTGAAAGTTGTGCCAAATACAGCTATAATGACCGGGCGTTCTATTCGGGTGAAGAAGGTAGTCCCTCCCGGCAAGGAAGTCCCTCCCTGCGCCTCTCGCATCCCCTCCGACGAAAAATTTTGGTCGTCGGGATTCAGGAGGAAGCCACTATCTGTGACTATCGCCTCCGGAGGAACCATTGGCCTTGTTTTTTTCTTTGGCGTTGTGAATCAATCAGTGATTTCTTAATTTTTTTTCCATTTGAAACAAGCAGAACCGTACGGTTCCGGCTCCTTATCCTTTCTGGCGAGCATCAGTGCGGTTCCTATTCCACCGGCAAGTCAGGAAATCCCAACACGAACTCGCACCAAAGTGACCAAATGCTTCTCCCCATTATGGTTGGGAGACCCGAGTGGACAGCATTGATTACTTTCAGAAGGATGGATGTACCCACCCCTCACCCCTGCCTAAGTTAGCCTCGCTTCTTTTTTCTTTTTTTTCGCCTATTTTCTTTTTTTTTTCCTTCTGAAAGGGCCACGGCTATTTCTTTCTAGATTACAACAAGAATGCAAGGTAGTTGATCCAGGACTGTCTCCTACACTCTCTGGGGGCTTCTCCTATTCAATCAGTGATTTTGGTTCTGTGGGTTCTCTCTTTAACTTTGTTCACAGGTTATTTCCTACTTCCTATTTGTCGATCTCTTTGCAGTAAAAGGATTGGGTGAATTGACTTCTATTAAGCTGCCCAATACCTCGCCCAGGCAAACTGTGGAACCGAAAATGTGACATTATGGGTTCCTCCGGATGAACAGTGCTAGCGGGGAGCGAGAAATAGCTGGAGGCACCAGCCAAAGCGAAAACAAAAACGCCTCCGTGGCGGGTTCATTTGGTTTTCGTGTGCACTTGGAATGAGCCTCCGGAAAAGGAGGCTCGGCGGTAGTGTTGGTTTCAGGCAGCAGATTATCATGTGTCATTTCCCCCTTCCGCCCCCAGCAGGGCCAGAATGCAAAACACAGACACGAACTCATGCCATGCTTTGTGTTCGTGTGCCAATGTTATCAGGTGTGCTGGCTGCTCTGAATGAGCTGCGGCACTGTGCTCCACTTTCTCTCCGGAGCTCTTTAGCTGGCACTCTACAGCAAGCTCTGAAGAACGTAACTGACACTCTCCTGCGTTTCAATGCAACACGGATCCTTAGAGACAGTGAGAAGTCGCTCTTCATGGGATTATGTCGCGCTTTTGTGGAGGTGAGTGCTCTCTCTCTCTCTCTCTCTCTCTCTCTCTCTCTCTCTCTCTCTCTCTCTCTCTCTCTCTCTCTCTCTCTCTCTCTCTCTCTC